TGAGTGCTGTTTGGCCACTTGGGCACCACTAATGGTGTCTCAAGAATGTCATTAACCTGTAGATTTGACAGAGAAGCAATGTAAGGAGGCTCAGTCTTGAGTTCATTCCTCCAGTTAATCATGGAATGATAGTTTTTTGCTTGCCACTTTAGTTTCGGAGTCACCACCTTTCTCATGTTGACTACAGGAGGCACATCCTCATTCCCATCTCCATCTTTACCCTCCTCATCAGTATAGTTTAACAAATTCTCGTCAACAGCAGCATCAGAATCTTCCTCCTCCTCTTCAGATCTGCCAGTGCATTCTTCCTTTTGCTGATTCTCCTCTTTAATTTTTCTTATCATTGAGACAGCTTTTTCTCTATCAGTCATGTCCTCATCTGCACACATACCAAGAAGAAGTTGATCTGTGTGGGCGAAGTATGCATTTCTCTGGACAGCCTTCTTCACTATCGTCTCCTCCTCACTATTCAGGTGTTTCATATATAGCAGGGACTGGAATACGTTCCTTGAGCCGTGTGTTACGTAAGGGTGTATCTTGATGTAAAACCACATTGGAGCACTGAACTTTATTATTGTAATGACAATTCTTTTCAACTCATGGCTGGGTCTTGATGTTGCTACATACAGCCTGAGGATTCTACTCCATAAGGTGTTCCACCTTGACACACAGGGAGGACCTGGTTCAATAGCAGCCAAGTCATCTTCAACAACACCTGTGATAACTCCTTTACAAATCCTATACAGGTATTTCTGATCCCGGGACAGATCTTTCTCCACTTCATCATTAAACACAGGGAAATCAGGGAAACTGACTTGCTGGAAGGCGACAACTGGAAGCTCAGACAAAGACTCCTTGATCTGCTTTCCAATGGGACCACGCCAATGCTCAGGACCACTTGGTTTACCATCATAGTGATAAAAAACTGCGCGGAAAGGCAGCTCATTTCCGTGAAGCTGACATATGAAATAATGGAGCGGGTGACCAAGTAACATTTCAAGATGATGAATGACTCCATTTTCTGATCCTACATTTACATTGGTTCCATCACAACCAACACACACAATGGGCTGCTGGGTTAGATTTTTCTCCACCAGAAACTCGTGAATAGTTTTAGCAATCTGCTTTCCGTGTCCAGTCTTGGGAGTCACATGTGTGAGATATTCATTGCCAGGCTCAACCATGATGACATAACGATATTTCACCATCATCCTCGAACTCCATTTCTCGGTCTTCTCATTCTTTATCATCACACGAGTGGCGGTCTTCTTACCATCAAAATAGAGTGACGTCAAATTATGAAAAAAAAGTTGATAAACACTGAACAGAACATTGCACCGCCACAGCGGCTGTTTGGCTAGTACTGTAGGTAAATTTAAAAATTTCAGTAGAAAATGCGGCAAACTAAACCTCGACATATCAGCTTCAAATTTGGCATGGAGTCTTAGATATGTATAAGGAACAATGCCTGAAGAGTGCAGCTTTGAGCAAAATTTCACTGCCCGCTAATGGGTATAGACCATGAGGATGATCATGATGATCATCATCATCAACCATGGGTATAGACCATGAGGAGGATCACGATCATCATTAACCATTGGTATAGACCATGAGGAGGATCACGATCATCATTAACCATGGGTATAGACCTTGAGGAGGATCGTGATCATCATCATCATCACCAACCATGGGCATAGACCATAAAGAGGATCATCATCATCATTAACCATTGGTATAAACCATGAGGAGGAACACAATCATCATTAACCATGGGTATAGACCATGAGGAGGATCATGATCATCATTAACCATGGTTATAGACCATGAAGAGGATCATGATCATGATCATCATCACCAACCATGGGCATAGACCATAAAGAGGATCATCATCATCATTAACCATTGGTATAAACCATGAGGAGGAACACGATCATCATTAACCATGGATATAGACCATGAGGAGGATAATGATCATCATCATCATTAACCATGGTTATAGACCATGAGGAGGATCATGATCATCATCATCATTAACCATGGGTATAGATTGATAAAATATATACCCAAGACCAAACCCAGTGCCTCTAGGAATACGAGGCGATCCCTACACATGAACCATGCGGCGGTCGACAAAGTTAAGAAGAAAACCCAGAAATTCAAGACGTGGGTTGGGTCAAAATATGAGCAGGGCAGGAGGATGTATGCAAGAGCCAGAAACCAAGCAAAGATAGAATGTAGAAGAGCTGAAAATGAGTTCCAGAGGCTGGTTGCAAAAGAGGTCAAGTCAAACCAAAAGGCGTTTTACCACTATGCAAAGTCGAAATTAAAAACACAAATAGGAGTTTCAGACCAAAAGCTTGAAGATGGTTGTTACGCAGATTCTGACCAGGATAAAGCTGAGGCATTGAACAGCTTCTTTTCCTCGGTGTTCACAAGACAGGATGCGATTAACCTTCCTGCGTTTGAGGACAGATGGATCGACACAGCACTGACCCTCATTGTGTTCACAGAAGAGGGTATTAGAAATAAACTGTCAAAGCTAAAGGTCCATAAGAGACCCGGCCCTGACATGGTACATCTTAGAGTGCTAACAGAGTTGAGCAACGAGCTTGCCGAGCCCCTGAAGCTCCTGTTTTGTTAATGCCTGGATGAAAGAAAGGTCCCCAGTGAATGGAAAGTGGCTTATGCAAGTCCTATCTTCAAGAAGGGCGATCGTCACTCCACGAACAACTATAGACCGGTGAGCCTGACCAGCATAATATGTAAAGTACTTGAGAGTATTATCAGAGATGCCGCGATGGAACATCTACTACGAAACAACCTTGTAAAGGATTGCCAACACGGTTTTATGCCGGGGCGCTCCTGCTTAACACAATTGCTCAAGGAATTGGATATTTGGACCCATATTCTGGAACGGGGTGGTAATATCGACAATTTTTACCTAGATTTTGCCAAGGCTTTCGACAGTGTACCCCACGAAAGGCTGAAAATCAAACTGGAAGGGTACGGAATTCGGGGAAATGTCCTAGTGTGGATAGAAGACTTTCTACATGACCGGAAACAGTGTGTGGTGATTAATGGCACGAAATCATCATCCGTACCTGTCACAAGCGGGGTACCACAGGGCAGTGTATTGGGCCCGTTGTTGTTTGTTTGTTTCATAAATGACATGCCTGACATTGTACATTCCTCCACACATATGTTTGCCGATGACGCCAAGTTATTTCGGGAAATGAAGAACCAAGCGGACTGTGAAGAGCTGCAGAAGGACCTCTGTGGGCTCCAAGAATGGTCGAAGAAATGGCTGCTGAGATTCAATGTCACGAAGTGTAAGAGGATGCACCTGGGGTGTACCAACGGTAAGGAGGCATATCATATGTCCCAACGGGATGAAGAAACTGCACTACAGTATTTGAGACTGAATCTGAGAAGGACCTAGGTGTGTATGTTGACAATGAGCTGAATTTCTCGGGCCATTGCGAGAAGAAGGTAAATCAGGCAAATAAATTATTGGGTCTTATAAGAAGGGTGTTCAGATATTTAGATGGTCCGTCTCTCGTAACGATCTTCAGGAGTGAAGTGCTTCCCCATCTGGAGTACTGTCTCCCCGTCTGGTCCCCGAGATATGCTAGCGACTGTCAGTTGGTTGAAAATGTTCAAAGGAGGGCCACCAGACTGGTGCCTGCACTTCGGCACCTCAACTACCCTGAGAGATTGGAGCGCCTGAACTTGCCAAGCTTGTACTATAGACGGGCAAGGGGTGACCTAATTGAGGTGGAAAGCATCTCAAGGGGCACTACTTTGTCAGGTGTCCTTACTTGGAGCTGGCGGACGCTCGCCCCACAAGGGGTCACAGCTCAAGATTGAAGAAGCAGCAAGTCCAGAAAACTGTGAGGACAAACTTTTTCGGAGTGAGAGTTGTGAACTCTTGGAACAATCTACCAGAAAGTGTTGTGACGGCACCAAGTGTGAGCTCTTTCAGGACAAGACTTGACCAACACTGGAGCGGGTTCAGGTACATTCAGGAGCCAGTGCATGTCCAGTACTTGCCAACAGTGCATAACAGAGTCATGGCCGATCGCCCAAGCGGCTAACAAGCCGATCATTTGGTGAAGAGGATAAAAGAAAAGGAAAAGTAATCAGAGACGTGACCGATCGCCCAAGCAGCTAACGAGCCGATCAGTGGTGAAGAGGATAAAAGTAAAAGAAACTCCCGTGCTACTTCTGGGTGGTGGTGTTCTAAAGCTAGTATATCACTGAGGTGAATAGGGAGTCAATGAGCATAGTTGACACTGTTGTTTGCAAAGAAATAAGGTATAAGTTCTAACAGAACATTGTGTTACATTTCAAAATTTGCTTCTCTGAATGATCGGACTAGTATGAATATGGTCAACTTCATGTCAAGGGCAACATTCCAGAATTAAAACTGTGGACTTTCAGATTTCCTTTGGTCACATCACTCTTCAAATCTCAAGGTTGTATCTTTAGGCACACCTGAACAGTGCTCATTATATGCGTCCTTCATAAGCTTGTACAGACTACAAGCAGTAATCTGATGTGCATGGCGTGTTCTTGTGACTCTAGATGCCAAGAGGAAAAACTCTGCTGTACATGATGAGGCCATTCCTGCCTTTACATGGAAATCACCTGAATTGATGAACACAATAATTTTTATGCCATAAAGGAAATCTCACATCCACATTTGGTGGCCATCTTGGAACTTTAAATGCCCAATCAAATAGATTTGAGAAGTTACCCATATTGAATATTCATGCCAATTTTCATACTTGAATCACCATTTGCAAGATTCCCTAAAAAAATTGACACTTAGCCGCTCCCCTATTCTATCTGAACATGCCTTGGTCCCAAGATTGAGGGTCAACCACCCCAAGATAGCCACTACTTCAAGTCTTACTAGCCACCCTTCATTCCCAATATCTTAGCCCAGGCAAGATGAAAAAGGAAAAAAGATAAAAATGTAATTGTCAATTTAAACTAACCTGTTAAGATCTAGAGTATTAAGGGATTCAGTGAAGACGGCAACACTTGCATTAAAAGCCTGAGCAGCATCAGCAAAGAATTCTGAAATTAAAAAAATACAGCAGTACAGTAATACTGTAGCTTTTTAAACACATCAGTATAGTGACAGATTGTTATACATCAGTCCAGTAACAGCTTGTTAAATACATCAGTCCACTAACAGCTGTTAAATAAATGTTAAAATGACTAATAATTTCAATATAAAATGCAAAAATATTAAAGAGCACAACTTTCTTGATATTTACTCCACTGGAAACGAATGTAAACATAGAACAGATTACTGAATTGGCAGACTAGCCCATCAGCTGATGCTCACAACAAAACGTGATGTTCATAAGGGTTTCGTTAATCGAATATTTGTTCGTTAACCGAATTGAAGATTCTTATGGAAGGTAATTCATTAACCGAAATTTCGTTAACCGAGGGACCAATGTATATATATATATATATATATATATATATATATATATATATATATATATATATATATATATATATATATATATATATATATATATATATATATATATATATATATATATATATATATATACAGTAGTACCCCACTTAATGCGGTCAACTGAACCCACAGGGTACCGGGTTAAGTGGTGTTAAGTGAAAACCGCGTTAAGTGAACAACAGAACATATGGGATTAATTCCAATAGAGACTGGCCGGACCCCCAAATTCTACTTTTTCCGACACAATACCTATGTTCTAGTAAAAATAACATCTTAATTTTATGATGGTACATGCACACAATTAATACTTAAGAGAAATAGAGAAATACAGTCGCCAAGTTAATGTCCATTCAAATAATGGACTCAACTCCCTTCCCCTCTTCTCACACTACACTCGCTGGCTCTTCCCTCTCTGAAAAATTTTTGGGGGAAAACCACTAAATATTAATAAATAATACCTCAGACTAAAGTTAGGATAATATAATTGACATTGCTGGATTCCTTGTAAGACCAGGAATATTTTGAATATAAATGTCATATATTTTGCACAAAAGATAACATATTTACTCAGAGTAAACATTATATCTAAAATTTGTATGTCTAATGCAAAATCTATGATGTTTATATTCAAAATGATCATCAAATTGTAAGAATTCCAGCAATGTAAATTATATTCTGGCCGGGTAATTTGTATGAATTTTATGAGCTAAAACAAATATCTTCAGTTAATAAAAAAAAAAAATATTCTTCACGACACTATCTGTCAATCAAAGTACCCCACCTTGCCTCCCCCCCTCTTCCAACCGCGGTGGTCCGTCCCAACCCTCCCCCCCACCCCCCACCAATCCTCCCTTCAAGAGATGTTGGGTGAAAAAACTAAATTTTAACATTTAGTATTAAATAATACCTCAGATTAAAGTTAGGATAATATAATTGACATTGCTGGATTCCTTGTAAGACCAGGAATATTTTGAATATAAATGTCATATATTTTGCACAAAAGATAACATATTTACTCAGAGTAAACATTATATCTAAAATTTGTATGTCTAATGCAAAATCTATGATGTTTATATTCAAAATGATCATCAAATTGTAAGAATTCCAGCAATGTAAATTATATTCTGGCCGGGTAATTTGTATGAATTTTATGAGCTAAAACAAATATCTTCAGTTAATAAAAAAAAAAAATATTCTTCACACTGTAACAGATGGTCGGTCGGTCCCTCCGTACCAGATGTGTGGGAAAACCAGAATATTTACCTTTTTAGGAATAAATAATTCCTCAAACTAAAGTTAGGATAATATAATTGACATTGCTGGATTCTTTGTAAGACCAGGAATATTTTGAATATAAATGTCATATATTTTGCACAAAAGATAACATATTTACTCAGAGTAAACATTATATCTAAAATTTGTATGTCTAATGCAAAATCTATGATGTTTATATTCAAAATGATCATCATGCTGTAAGAATTCCAGCAATGTAAATTATATTCTGGCCTGGTAATTTGTATGAATTTTATGAGCTAAAACAGACAGGCAGACAGGCAGGCAGGCAGGCAGGCGGGTGGCGGGTGGGGCGAATCTAAAAATAGCGTCTCGAGCCGGACACTCAGGTGGAAAAAACCCGTGTTAAGTGAAAGTTCGGCTCTGGCGAGGCACCGCGTATACGTGAAATCGCGCTAAGCGAAACCGCGTTAAGCGGGGTACTACTGTGTGTATATATATATATATATATATATATATATATATATATATATATATATATATATATATATATTATATATATATATATATATATATATATAGTCATGCGCCGGTTAACGTCCAACGAACAACGTCCGATCACATATACGTCTGTGCCCCCCCTCAAAAAAAAAACTTCCGTGACGCCTGCTGGACCACCACTCCACGACCCCCTGACGGAGACATGATGATCCTCCCCATACTGGCCAGATATTATGTTAAAGGAATATGCTTCCTTCCTTAGGCTTTTTTTAAGCATTTGCCTCCAGGTGTAATGTTAACCTACATCTATTGAAAAAATCTTTCACCTACAAATTGACAATAACACATTTGCTGTAATCAGACATATCTAGTTGCCTCAACAATTGCAACCCCAGTTGCAATTGGGGTTGCAATTTCAAATTCTGTGTCATTACTAAGGAATAACGAAGTCTCTGGTGCACTGTAATATTAAGAGAGAAACGGAGGACTCAGGCGTCCTGAAGCGAGAGAAAACGGACTCATATGATGGGGGACACAAGCAGACAGACCTGACACTCACTTACTTGACAAGTTTTACCAACCATTAGTTGTGTACGTTATCTAGTGAATTTAGTCAATATTGTACAGTACAAGTACACTGCAATACAGTGGTCCCTTTGGTTAACAATGGACCTAAGTGCAAACCTGTACTGTAGATGTACTAAATGATTACGGTACTAAAATTGTTATGTCTATTGCAAATATAGATTGTTTATACAGGTATTGAAATAAATCACTATCTTACAAGAATCCCAGCAATGTAAGTTATATTCACCCAGGTTATTTGGGTGGCAAATTATGAAAAGAGCTTAGTCACTCTTAAGGAATGATAAATAAACACGCAGGCCTTCAGCGCCAACTGTCAAATCATATCTCAAATAAATAAACAAACACCAGACACTCTGTCACCTCACCTCTCGCTTACCCCTGCTCCCCCCATCTTCCCAGGCTCACTGGCTACCTCCCTCCTTGCCTTCCTCCTTGTGTCCCCAGACAAAAGATTGGTGATAACTTTATGCTTTAAGGTGTTTATTTTATATAATATCTCAAACTGAAGTTAGGATAAAATAAATTGCATTGCTGAAATCCTTGCAAGACGGAGATTAATTTCAATATAAACGTCATATATTTTGCTCGAGATAAAAATTGTAGTACATTAGTGTACAATACTGTATAGTAGGGAGTGACAGTTTGGCAAAAGTTTTCAAAATCAAGTGGCTTGGGTTGGATTATTTGTCTATCGGCCACGCTGGTTCCGAATATGTTTGAATCTTTAACATCAGTGCATTAGAAGGTTTGTGGATACTTTTCGGTTCGACATAAAAAAAACAAGAATGGTAGACATTCTTTATTATTGGCATGTATGCTTCAATTTATCAGCAGCACACTAGCACAGTTGGCACACTAACATTGGCTGTCCCCACAGTGTCCCCTCAGTCCCCGTGTCCCCACAGTCTAGCACTGGTAGTCCTCTTTCTTAGCCCTCCGCTTGTTTCTCTTCCTGGCCTCCAGCTTGTTCCAGGTGACCTGGTCCTGCTGCCAGGCAGAGCTGGCCACGTCTGCCGCCTCCGTGGTGAGCTTCACTCCTCTTTCCACTGCGGTGGTGGTGCAGGGCAGACCTGGCTCACTGTACGGTTCCTCCAGAAATTGCTCCAGTTCCTGGTCACTGTGCTGGAACAGGATGGGAGGGGAGGAGCTGGCCTTCTGCAGATCAACCAACTCTGACAGCTTGGTGGCTGCCAGATTCAGTTGAGGGTTCCTCACTTTCCTCACTGTCTTTCTCTTGTGCCTTTTTTCCTTCTTCCTCAGCTGCTTGATGATGTTTAGGGCCAACTCCCTCTCACTCTTGTCCATGGAGGCCAGCAGTGAGACCAGCACCACCTCGTGCTGGCCGAAGTAGCCGTTGAACTGGAGGTATGGAGTAAGCAGCTCCACTTCCTCCAGGGTGCAGTACGTCCTCACCCGGTTGATGATGGCGAGGAGGTGGCGTGGGCCCTCCAGTAGCAGATTCCTCTGCCTGATCTCCAGGAAGGAGGGCACGTAGATAAGGATGATGAAGGAGGTCATCCGTCTCTGTGACTCGCTGGGGGAGGTGGTGCTCATGTAGGCCCTCAGCTCCCTGCTCTCCGTTTGTTGCAACCGTCGCTAAGGACAACCAGGAGGTCGGTGGTGTCAATACCGCGCTCCTCCAGGAAGGCCAGCAGGCTGGTGGCCAGGTCTACCCCCTTTCCCCCCACCGGGACCAGGTGACCAAGGAACTCCTCACCAGGGAAGCCGATCACTGCACAGTCTTCCCTCTTTTCCATGGCGAATCTCTTGTGGTTCTTCTCACCTACACCAGTCACTATCTTGTTCTCATTGATCCTCTCATCTACCATGAGACCTCTGACCTTGAATCCCCTGAACTTTTCTTTTTTCTGTTCTCGTGACCTCTTCCTGACTCTCTCCACTTTCTTCCAGTTAGTCACTTTAGACTTGTCCCCTTCAGTTATGATGTTGTCTGCAGCTCTGATGGTGTTTGCGATGTGAGCCACTGCATCATTGGATACCTTGAACCTGTCAGCAGTTTCTCCGATCCTGTCCTCGGCTTCTTTCTCCCTTTTCCTTTTCTCTGATCTTGCTCTCCTGTCGACCATAGCCTTGAACTCATTGTCATTGACATCCTTATAATCACTATCTTCTTCCTGAGCACTGTCATCCACTGCCGACACTTTACACGACATCCTCTCCATCTCCTCCTTACTCTTTGACCTCATCTTCTCAGTTTTCCTCTCTTCCTCAGCCCTTTTCTTTGCCCTCTTCGCTTCCT